CAGTGAGAAGCAGTGATTGGGAACCTCTGAGCATGGCTCAATCTGCACTAATTCCTGCTGCACAACACCTGCACCTGCCTGGCCATCCCACAGCAAATGAAACATTTTCAGAGCTTTTATTTCTATATATTTATATATATATTATTTCTACGTATTTCTATTTCTATTATATTTTATAGGTTTATTAGGAGATAGAGGATGACCTTTAGCTTGGACAGGAGAGGCTGCAGGGTTTGTGATGTCCCTCTGTCAGAACTGACCCCTCCAGCAGGGATGGATTCTCCAGGGATGGGGAAACAGAGCAGGGGATGGATGTTGGGATGAGTGGGATGGGGACTTGTGCTGACACCTGAGATCTTGGGGAATTGCTGATTCCACAAGTGCTGCACTGAAACGGTGATTGCAGAGTAAGGAAGCAGCTGAAGTTCAGCCCTTTAGTGGGAGCGAGGAAGGAAAGGAAATGAGGAAGGAAAAAAGGTCAAAGAATATAATCTCTTTGCAAAATTTTACATTTTCTAATCTTTCATAAACACATAATCCCAGTTGTTTGTTCTTGCCTTTGGGTGATTGAATGGTGTATCTTACCTGATAGAATGGTGGAAAAATGGAGTTTTCTCACAGCCAGGTTTCATTAATATGTATTGGAAACCTAAAACGGTGTTCAGCCACAAGGGGTAAAACTACAGAATTGCTGTGGATTATAATAATTTCAGCAAAGCATCTAATTTATATATTAAGCTTGCTTAATGGATTTATATTGCCTTGCTCTTTGATCTGAAGCAAAAGGTGGTGAATAATTTATCAAATAAAAAGCCCTCCCCTAGCCCAGCCCACACGTCACAATCTGCCCTGTAATTTACATTTTTTAAGAGATGCCGTTTCCAGGCAGAAGAACTGCTTCCTAAAAGACTCCTTCTAATATTACAAATGTATTTTCGTGAGCTACACTCAGGGGAAAGAAATAATAATGAAGGAATGCAATTCTACAGACAAATGTTCCAGCTCTCTGCCTTCCTCACTAAAGACAGTCATTTCAGCTAAATGCCAAAAGGCATTTAACTGTAGCATTTGTCAGTGGAATAGGGCTGGCTTTGGGTTTCCCTCCTGATTTACAATGGAGTGTTTATTGGGTTTAGTGTACTGTAGCATGTTTTGTTAACCTCTAGAAAAACGCGGGCAGCTGTGCATTAATCCCAGGGTGATTCCTGTCAGGGGACAGGGCTGCAGGGCTCTGGGGAGGTTCTGGCTGCTCCACGGGGCAGCAATCAGCTCTGCCTGGCCTGGGCCAGCCCCTGAGGTGCTGCTTGAGAGATGGATCATCATTCCTCCATGGCTTCATTTTTCAACAAAACCAGGGTGAAAGTGCTGCATGGTGGGAGCTGGGGGAGCTACCACAGTCACCTGCCCAAGGAGCATTTAGGGCACTGTTTAGGTGGTGTTGGAAGCACAATTATTGGGAGCTTTGAGCCTGGAATTCCTCAGCTGATTTGTGCTTATCCATGGGAGTCACTCCCCACAATCCCAGCTCCTGTTCCGTGCCCAGGGAATGCCTGCTTATCCATGGGAGTCACTCCCCACAATCCCAGCTCCTGTTCCGTGCCCAGGGACAGCAGCGTTTGCAATCACAGCCCATGGGAGTCACTTCTCAACAATCCCAGCTCCGGTTCGGTGCCCAGGGACAGCAGTGTTTGCAATCACAGCCCATGGGAGTCACTTCTCAACAATCCCAGCTCCTGGTCCCTCCCCAGTGTTTGCAGCCCCAGCTCTCCCAGGGCTCCTGACACTTCTCCCATTCACTTTTCCCCCTCATTTGTCCAAACCCACCAGCTGTCAAACATTTACTGAGGCTATGTGGCAGCGTTGATTCATATTTAAATAAAGCCATTATGCCAGCCTTGAGTTCCAGTAGTTTTCTGCTCTTCCTCTTGAGTATTTCTCTCAGTAGTGCCATCTAATCAGCTTTAGGTTTTAATTAAACAGCTGTCATTTGCTTCCTAGTTCTGTTGCGACCTGATGTTGTATTAAATTTTAATTTAGCCTGGGCTGCATAAGAAGTAGATTCCTTCAGACAACAAAGAAATGCTATTAGCAGGTTACAGTTGTAATTAAGAGGAGCTCTGCTGAAGTGCTAATGCAGTCAGGTAGAGAGCTGCAGATAAACACACATAATAATTATTATTATTATTATTCAGGGATGGAGCCTGTGATATGAATGTGTAGATTCCACCCTTTCAGGCTGCTGAGCTGAAGGAGTTGGTCAAGATCTGACCTTAACAAAAGAAATGGGGAAGGATTTGCAGTTTTTCAGGAGGGCTTTGCAGTGCCCACAGTCAGAGGGTCCTGGCTGGTGTTTCACTGTGCCATGTGGGAGGACCATCAGCACAATGAGCCCTCTGCATCCCAGATGCTGCCAGAAATCACCAGAAATCACAGGGAGCTGAAGTTCAGCAGCTCTTTTCCTGCAGGAAACTCTGCCATGGAAATGCAAACCAAGCTTTACAGAATTTAGATGAAATGTTATGACTTGTTGAAGAAACACTAAAAGGTTTGTTTATAAATCTACTGGACAGTCAATTAGTTCATATTTCTTCCTCAGGGGAAATATATTTTTGCAGTCTATAAATAGCCAGCCCTTAAGAAGGCTTTAAACAGCCTATTGTATTTGTGTAGCACTCAGTGCAGGCATCAGGCCTGTGGGATATTGATTTCTGTGGTGGAGCTGCTCTCAGTGCAGTGCAGGGTTTGGGAGGCTGCCCCAGCTAATTAGCACAGGGGCTCCTGTGTGTGCTGGGCAGCTCAGCACAGTCCTGGTGCTTGTCTCATGCTCATCTTTTATGAGAGGAATGCAAATGCCTTTAAAACTTCACACTGTCCTTCAGTGCAAGGTCTGAGTGCAGCTTTGGCACCAAGAGCCTCAGAGGGGGCTGGAGGCTTGTGCTTTGCCACACAGCATGGCCAACACCTGGGTGATGGCACAAACAGCACAAAACCCCAATGGGAATGGATCAGGCCTGCTGGGAGCTGGTTCCAGTCCACCAAGGTGCAGAGAGCCTTTAATCCTGGCTCAGTGTTTAATCCTGACTCCCTGGTGCTTTGATCAGGCTGTGATTGACACAGGCACTGCCTGCCTGACCTGAGCAGCTCACAGCTGTGCTAACAGAGAGGCTGGAAGTGGAATTTGTTGAGTGCTTGCTGTTTGTGACCTTGGCCAAAATAGATTTTCCCCAGATGTGTTGAGGAACTCCATCTATTGTTGGAGAATTGCTCCTCACGAGCCCTTTGACCCAGGACCACCAGGTCTTCATCAAATATCTGATATCTGAGGGCTTAGGATATATGGGGTGTTTGCAGTGGTGAAATCTAACTACCTCTTCTCTGGCCTGTGGATGAATTACCTTCTCTTTGCTGTCTTATAAAACCTTTTTCCACGTGAGGTGCACCTAAGTGCTTTCTTCCACCTGGCAGTGCATTTTCTCCTCAGCCTTTTTCAAATCTCAGTCTTTGTAAAGGATTTTCAGTTGTTTTTTTTCACACTTCCACTTCTGTCACACACTCCTTTCTTTGCCAGTGTCCCTCTCTCCTGGCTGGCAGCTGGTTATAAATGAGCCTGTTCAGCAGAAACAAAAACCAGACAGTCATTGACTGGTAGAACATCTGGTTTGTGCCTCTCAGAGAACAGAACAAAGCCTGCACTTATTTCCTGAGGTGTTATCCTAAAAGCCTCTCTGCTCAGGATGACTCTTCAATCCCACTGGAGTGTGAGTGTGAGGCTGAGCACGTCCTTTCAGGGCTGTCCTGAGCAGAAATGGACTCCAGTGTGTGCTGGATGCCTTTGTGCTGCCCATAAACCTCTCTGGGGCTCTCAGAGGTGCCTGGCACTGCTGGGATTGGTGCTGCAGCTCATTTAATTCAGGCTGCTTTCTGTGGAAGGTTCCGAATATTGATTAATAATACATCTTAGCTGCAAGTATTTATTGGTCTTCTCCAGCTGTCCTTAGCTTGTGGTCAATGCCCATTATTCTCTATCAATCTAGCCAGCAGCCAGAGCAAATGATAGTGAATATATCTCCCTATGCAAGCTGCCATCAAATTTTTCACTAAAATCCATTCCTTCTTCCACCAATTCTAATAATGAAATTTAAAGTTAGATTGGTTTGAAGCAACTTTTTTATTTTTTCCCCCGCTAACTGGCAAGCAATTAGTTTTATGGAAGTTGAAAAATGAAAAGGGGATTGATTCAGAGCAGTATTTCCTATTGCAGGCTTTTTGAGGGGGGCAGAATGGATCCCTGTGAAATACCAGATCATTCCTTGTGCCATTTGTGTGTCACCTTTTGGGCTGGCAGTCAGCACTGCTTCTGCAGAGGCTGCTCCCCTCCAGCCTGGACCTGCCTGTGCCAGGCAGGGGCCTCTGCACCAACTCATTTGGAGTAATTAATCAGCCTGAGACAGAGAGGAAGGCTGTGAAATGGAGTCATTAGAGTGCCAGCACTGTGAATTCATCAGGGTTACAGATAAACGTGGTTAAGCATCTCTAGGTGGGGAAAGACTAAAAAAAATTGTGTATGGATGTTTTCCTCCTAATGTATTTATGGAAATAAATGGTCGACTCACAGCAGAGTGAGCTGGAACAGGAAGGAAGAAATGCTGTTGTGGTGGGGGATAATCACCTCCCAAACCACTGGCACCATTTGGGGCAGAGGGCTGGGAGGAGCTGCTGATGCCCTGGAGATCCTGCTGAGCAGTGCTGTGCTTTCAGATCCCTTCCCTCAGGCAGAAATGTGTAAATGGGCTCAAAGGGATAAACCCGGGTTTGTCAGAACAGGCCTTGGTGCTCCTATGCAGCTTTTGGCTTAGGAAGCTGCTAAAACATTGCAGGGATCTGCAAGGGTGCATGCAAGGAGAGTGCCATCGCTGTGCCTGTCACTGTCACGACCCCTGTGCCATTCTCGTGCTGTTGTGCTGCTCCAACACTCAGCCTGTGTTTGTGTGTGCCCCCAGGACACAGAAATCCTCAACACAGCCATCCTGACGGGCAGGATGGTGGCAGTGCCAGTCAAGGTGGTGGCCGTGCAGGAGGACGGCTCCGTGGTCGACGTCTCCGACTCCACCGAGTGCAGATCTGCTGATGAAGACGTGGTCAAGGTGAGGCACCCACGGGAGTTTGCTGTGCCCAGTTCTGCCCCTCAGCTGGGGAGGGATGTTGAGATGCTTGAGTGTGCCCAGAGGGGGCAACAAGGCTGGTGAGGGGCTGGGAGCACAAACCCTGTGAGGGGTGTTTGAAGGAGCTGGGGCTGTTTAGCCTGGAGAAGGGGAGGCTTAGGGGTGACATTATTGCTCTCTTAGGGGTGACCTTATTGCTATCTTGGAGGTGACCTTATTGCCCTGTTAGAAGTGCCCTTATTGCTCTCTTAGGGATGACCTTATTGCTCATTTAGGGGTGACCTTATTGCCCTCTTAAGGGTGACATTATTGCTGTCTTAGAGGTGACCTTATTGTCCTCTTAGGGGTGACCTTATTGCTCTCTTAGGGATGACATTATTGCTCATTTAGGGGTGACCTTATTGCTCTCTTAGGGGTGACCTTATTGCTCATTTAGAGGTGACCTTATTGTCCTCTTAGGGGTGACCTTATTGCCCTGTTAGAGGTGACCTTATGGCTCTCTTAAGGGTGACCTTATTGCCCTCTTAAGGGGTGACTTTATTGCTCATTTAGGGGCGACCTTATTGCTCTCTTAGGGATGACCTTATTGCTCATTTAGGGGTGACCTTATTGCTCATTTAGAGGTGACCTTATGGCTCTCTTAGGGGTGACCTTATTGCTCATTTAGGGATGACCTTATTGCTCTCTTAGGGGTGCCCTTATTGCTCTCTTAGAGGTGACCTTATTGCTCATTTAGAGGTGACTTTTTGCTCTCTTAGAGGGCAATAGAGCTCCTCCCAGAAGGGTCTCTGCTCCTGTGGGCTGTGCCCTGCCCCTGGTTTCACAGCAATAATGCAGAATATTGGCACAAGGAGCAGGAAGTTTCCTTCCTGCTCTGGCTGCATCGCCAGTCAAGAGTTTCTTATAATGAACGATCCTGAACTGTACCAACATCTGTAGAGAGTGACAGGGATAGAAAATAACAACCATATTGCAAAAAGTCTTAAAATGAGAGCTGTGAGCTTTTAAACAATGTAGTGCTGTGTTTTAGTGTTTTGGGGTTTTTTTTTAATATTGTGTTCAAGTGGTTTTGTCTCCCTGACATTGCGGTGAAAATTGTGTTGATGTGACTTTACCAAGACCCTGCTTGCCTGACTTCTGACACCATTGCATGGCCTGCAGCTTTTAGCTCATTAGTATTATTAATATTTTAGACATAAAAGAGGTGCTTTTGAATATCTTGAATATATTAATTTGTTTTATTATGTGATTTGGGGGTGTTCTTGTTTCAAATGAACTTAAAAATTAACTGCAGAGAATTCTGTGTGAGGTGGGGTTTTTTGGTATTACTTATGGGTTCCATATTTTCCCTTAGGTATCAGATAGGGAAAGAAAAAAATCCCATTTTCTTTTTCTGGAAACCAGAATTCTTTGAAGGTCCTTACCACAGGAACATGGATGAATATCTTTGTTTGTAACTAGATTAATTGTCAAAGGAAAAGACTGCCTTGATAAATGTTGCTATTCTTTACATTTTTTCTGTGTAGCATACAGCTAATATCTGATTAGTGACTATTATTTATGAATTGATTAACATGAATTGTATATTATAAACTCAAGCATTGAGTTCTATATCATTAACATATTGCTGGGACTGTTTTCTTTTTGCACCTCAGAAAACCAGATCTAAAAGATGCTGTGTGGGGACTTTTATTTTTATTAATTGAGCTTCTAGGACTTGCTGTACTTTGAGAATACTGGACTGAACCAGACAGGATTTACAATGTTTTGTGGGTTTTTTTGGTAGTGACTTGATATAATTCAGGTCTTCATTTGCCTGCTTTAGGAGATTATTTGGGTCTGAAATCACTGACAATGGGCAATGCCCCTGTGACCCTCTCCCAGGCCTGGTACCCATCTCTCAGATATTTAGACAAGGTGAACAAACCCAAGAAGTCTCAATGTGGTCTTTGTTGAGTTGATATTGCCTCATCCTGGCAATATAAATGGGGAGTAATGTTATTTTTGTGAAAATTGCAGCATACTTGCACGATTTCAGTCACAAATTACTGAGACTGAATGCTGTTCAGGCATAATTTTTTAACTGCAAATATATGTATTGGTTGCAAGATTGAATCCATAACAATTAATTAGCTGAGTTAAAATTTAGTACAACGTTTATGTGCCTATATTTTTTCAGAAAAATGCATATTCCGTTTACAAGCCCCTTTGGTAAAGTCAATATTGACTTCGCTTCTGAATTTCTGTTGCCTTTTCCATATAGGTTGTAGTGCTAAACCCTCTAATGAGAGTTGTCAGGCATTTTGGATCTAATTGCCTTATCTTAAGCTTCTTTTCACTCTTAATTCTGCCTTTATTGTTTCTTTGATGCTGGAGACATATTCCTATTCTTTTGGGCAGAATAGAGTGTTGCATTCTTAACCTTTTATTTCTGTTTAATAGCTAATGATTTAATAACCAATTAATGAGACAATTCTTTGATCACTGCTCTAACATCATTATTTTCAGTTAAGGCAGTGAATTGAAGCTAGATTAAATAAAAACAGGGCTTCCACCCAGGCTCTTATGTGTTTGTACTAAATGAGTTTCTCTGGGCAGGGACCTGGTGCTGCTCAGAGATGGGCAGAGAGATCAGAGATGAACAAGGGGTTTATTTGTGTGCCAGAGCTGGGACTCTTCCCTGTTCTCTGCCATTTCACAGTTCAACAGCTTCCCAAGGAGAGAATATTTCAGCTCCTTTTTCCAAAGCCTTCCTAATTAGTGGTAAATACAATAAAACACACCCAGGGGTTTTTGACCTTGCATTTTCAGCATGTGATCCTCAAAGAAATCTGACGGCTGAACTTGCTTTGGTTCATCCCAATCCCTGCTTCCTAGATTTGGACATAAATCCTAATACTGACCAACCCTCCCACTGGAACTGGCTGCCCTCTAAAATATTTGGATGGAAACATTCCTGTAAGTCAATGGAAGTCTTGTGCTTATTCCATGATTTAAAAGGAACATTTAATGCTGTTGGCATTTGAGGGAAAAGATTGGCTTTATGATTAAGGCACTGAAATGCTCCTCAGCATTAATTTCCATATCTCTTGCTGATTTCCTGTGTGACTGTGGGTAAATCACTCATTCCCCTTGGAATCTCGCTTCCTTATCTGCTAACAAGAAGGGAAATTCATCCTTTCCCCCTCCTCCACCTGCATTATATGGTTTCTAGAGTTTCTGTTGACTCTGAATGGCCAAAATCCTCATCTTGACCTCATTCACCTCAGTGCTGTCCTCTCCTCCAGGACCTCTGTCCCTGCTTTTCCTGCAAACCCTAAATAAATAATCAGGTTGTGAAGCTGAGAAGAAAGGAATGGTGGGAGCGTGGCAGAGGTTGATTAGAGAGGGTTTATTGCAGCAGGAAATGGACCCTGAGGGGCTTTGGCATGGCCAGAATTCAGCGAGGAGCTGCAGGCAAGGTTCATGCCCTCCTCTGTAACAGTGCCTCTGAAAGCCTGAGCTGCACTAATTCCACATGAAGGGAAATTCTGGAGGCTCTGGGGTCTCATGGTGGTTGTAAACATCACCATCAGCATCAAATGAAGAAATTCTAATGAGGACAGCTTCTTAGTCCAAATGTTTATCTCAGTGGTGTTCAGCTGAAAGAGAGACAGCTGCCCAATTAATTCATCCTTCCATTAGTCATAACTCTGTGTCCTTTGCAAGTCACACACAAAGTGACTGATTGTTCCAATTAATCTCTGCAGTCACTCAATGCCTTACACCATGGACTAATTTAGCCTGATTTTTATTTTATTTTATTTTATTTTTTGGTAGGAGAAAAGGCCCTCAGTAGAACAGCAGGGAGTCAGGGCCTCCCCTTCCCATTTGCACCCACACATGAATCAGTAGGAGCAGACAGGCTCCCCGTGCCCAGCACAGGCACACTGGGAACAATGGTGCTCAATAACTCCCTGTGAACTCCATCTGTGCCACAATGTGCCTTCCTTGTTATCTTGCTAGAGGAAAGCTCTTCAATGAATTATTTTTCACCTTTTCATAATTTCCTGTCTAATTATAATGAAAGTAAAATTCAAACCGTTCCTGCCCTCTACTTTTGGAACACAAACCTTATCTTGAACTCTCCATAATTAATGGTAAAACAATAGAAGACCTAATTTTCCTGGCAGCAGCAAGCCAGGCTTTATCTAACGTGAAGAAAAACCAGTGTAACAAAGGCAGGAGAGGTAATAGCTGAAATAGATTAAATCTGAGGAGAGTTCTTCCCTCTTGCAGACAAAGCAGATGAGTGACTGAGGACCTCATCCAACAGCCCTGGGCACAGGGATCTCCAACCCCAGCACAAAAACTGCAACAAGGACCCATGGGCAAAGAACAAACAGGGAAATGGAGGGATACTGAGCTTCTCCAATTTAGATGGCACTGAATTTTTGGGAACAATCCCTTGCTGCAAACTCACAGCACATTCTTGGGACAATTTACAGAAAGAGGAGCCTGCCTGGAGTTGTTAAATACAGCTATTTACGCAGCAGCTCTGAAAACAAAGCCAGAGCTTGTAATTTGCAAGTTCTGCAGCTGCTTTGCCATTAAAGTATGTGATCAAGAATGTGATGGACTTGTACATAAAGCAGAGCTAATCTTGTTCCTCCATCTATCACATTTTTGAGTACCTATCCCTGTATTACCTAGCAGCTTTATTTTGTGGTCACTCGTGCAGAAATTACCTTCCTCCAGGAGGCCAAACTCTTCCTGGAAGCAGTGAAAATCCTCTCTGCTTGTTTGGATGATGGATTTACTTTGGTGCCACTTGGCTTGTTGCACTATGAATTTTGAACTTATTTTCTAAGTGATCTTTTCTTCAGTGGAGCATTCAGGACTGGCAGAAGGGAATGGACCCTGCAGGTGTGAGTGCCCCAGAGCAGGGCCAGGCTGGGCTGGGTGCTGGGAAAGCTTTTGGAGTGTTTAATGTGGTGAGTCCT